CCCCGCCTCTCTCTTCGCTCGCGCTTTCCCCCCTCTCTTTCCTTTTTCGGCCCCTCCCCCCACACTCCATCTCGAGCATGTCCGTCGGTAGGCTCCGGTTCAAGGGTGACAAGTGCGTTTGCCTCGCCCCACATCCCCCTTCATGGTGCCGATCTCGTCGGGTTTCCCTCCCCCACAGCCACTGATGCCTATCCTCTGTCCCCGGGAACACACCGCAGGAAAGCCCGCAAGGCCAAAGACCGCGAGGGCGATGGCCCTCCGGGCGCCGCGCCGACCCGCAAGTCCAAGCGTCCGGATGAGGACGAGTCGGTAGAGGGTACATGCCGCCGCCGCCGCCGCCGCCCCCCCCCCCCCACACACACACACACACTGCCCCTTGCCATCTCCTCCTCGCCGCTAATCTCCCCTGCCCTGCTCCCTTCCCCTCGCCCTGCCCGGCGTGCCACCTAGGCTGGGTCCCGGCCGAGCGCCTGGAGGACCTCGGGGGCCCGATCTACCTGGTGCACTACCGGTCATCCGGGTCCGGCCTTGCGGAGCGCCTCTGCCTGGCCGTGGACGAGGACGACTCGATTGTCCTGAAGCGCGCCATCCCGCTGCCGGATGGAAGTGACGAGCCGGATGATGTTTGTACGAGCTGCCGCCCTTGCCCACCAAGCGCCCCGGGAGCTCATGCCCCATGCGCCCCGCCACATCACACGGGTCCCTAACATGCGCCCACCCCAGCCAAGGTCTTTGTGGCCATGAGCATGTCCCCGGGGACGGTCCTGCTGAAGTCCAGCCGCGGGCGCTACCTGACCCCGGTGCTGGAGCGCTCGCGCTCGGGCGACGCGGATACCTTCTCCGGCGTGGCGGCCGATGCCGATGCCGCCGGCTCGCTGCAAGAATGGCGCCCCCTTTTCATGGACAACCCCACTACCGTAGATGGGGATGACGCCGGCGCGGGTGCCGGCGCAGCCGGCTCCGGCGGGGTCAGTCGCTTCTCCGATCGCGTGCTCGTCCTGCGCGGTGGCGATTCGGCCGCCCGGTGCCTGGCGGTCGATAGCCGGGCCTTGCGCGCTCGGCTGGCCCCCTCGCCGCTGGTGCTGCAGGCGTCCGACGATGAGCCCGCCGGGGCCGGCGACCTGCGCGCCGCCCTGGATGACGTCCTCTTCCGGCCGTATGTGCAGGCCCCGCGCCGGGCGGCTCTGCGCCGCCGCGCGCGTCTCATCGCCGAGGGCGTCCTCACCGAGGCCATGTCCGAGGCCGACCTGCAGAGCTCGCTCGGCGCGGCCGGCGCCACCGGCGCCGGAGCCGGGCTCCTGCAATTCGAGCAGGACAGCCTGCGCAAGAGCCAGAGCCGCGGCGCGGTCCTCGGGCCCTCCTTCACCTCGGCCGCCGAGCAGCGCCAGTCGTCGCGCGAGCTGCGCAAGGCCCAAAAGGCTGGCCGCCTGGCCGAGGCCCTCCTCGACCGGCGGTCCAAAGCCAAGTCCGACCGGTTCTGCATGTGAGGCGCCGATCGCGCCGATCGGCCCCCACGTGACCGGCCCGCTGGGGCGTACCGCCCCCGGCCCCTGTGTCTTCTGCTGCAGCCGCTCGGCCTCCGCCTGCCTCCCCTGCTTTTGCCCCCTTGCGTGGGGACGTGCCTGACATTCCCCCCCCCGGCCGGGGGAGAGGAGGGCGGCTGGGCGCGGCGCGAGCCGGCGGGGCCCGGCCGACATCGATAAAATAAAAAACAGTAATACCCCCCCCCCCCCATGGAGATCGGCTTTCCTGCGTGTTCGGATGGGCGGGTGGCGGCCGAGTTCCCCATGCTTTGTGTGCCCTTGGGCGGGCGAAGAAGGGCAGCCAGCAAAACGCGGGCACACAGCCCCCCCCCCCCCTGCGAAGACTGCCCGCCACGAGCATCCCCCACCCATCCCTCCCCCTCTTGCCTCCTGCGCCGGTGGTGTCCTTTTTGCCTGGGCGTGCGGCTGCCATTTCCCTCCTCCCCTCCGCCCTCGCCACGCTCCCCTCTCGCGGCACAGAGGCCTGCCCATCTGCGTGTGTGCCTGCACACCATGGCCGACTCTCGGCGGAAGCGGCTGCGTGCGGCGGTCCGCCTGCCGGACGGCAGCTACGTCTCGGCGGCCACAGCCTACTCGACCCTGGCCGTGGACTCGGCGCTCGTGTCGCCATACGCCTTCCCGGCACCCGGGTCGGCGCCCAGCGAGGCCCCGGCAATCGGGGGATCGCGCTTCGAGCAGGACCTCGCCGATGTGGACTTCTTTGGCCAGGCCACTCCGGTCGGCATCCGGTCCAGCTCGCGGGCCCGTGTGCTGGTACGCCACGCTTTCTCGCGCGACGCCGGGCCTGCTGCCGGCACCCTCGACATTGGCCCCCGCCTCCCTCTAACGCCCTGCCACCTCCAGATTGTCGGGCCCCCGCAGTCCGGCAAAAAGTCCCTCGTCCGAGCATTGCTGGCTCTCGGCCCGGTGGCCCCCTGCCCTCTGGACG